CCATTTCAGGCATATTCAGTGGGTTTTAAATTCACGGTTTCGTTATTTAGATAATGTGTTTTATGCTAAATTTTACATATTCACTGGGTTTTAATTTTGCGCATTTTTCCATTCAGCGAAATAAGCTAAATTAAAACCCAGTGAATAATTACCCCCTTTACAGTATCAGACTTTTAGATAAGCCACTTTGCATCATACCAACTATGGCAGTACATGTACATCGGAGATCGAACGAAATACGGTAGCGGTATATGACTGTGCCCATGTGATCATCGCTCGACCAAAATTGTGAAGTTGTTTTTGCATGGATTGGTAATTCACACTTGATGTACTAGGTCTGAAACAAAGAAAGTGCCTTTCTAACAGGAAGTCAAGCTGTCTGGATTTGACTGGGAAATTTAACACATGTTCTTAGCTTGGTGCACTTTACAACTTCGATACATTGTGTACAATTTCAGGTTTGGGTGACGCCTAAATTAGAATTCTTTTGTTAGGTTTGACCTTTCGGGGACGCCTAAATTAGAGGGACGCCTAAATTAGGGTATCTACGGTAGTCTGGATCTGCCTATATGTAAAATATCTGCAACCACACTTGTGCTGACAAGAGGCATAATTATTTAAAAGCGTGAGCGAAACAAAACAATTGATTTCATCACTGCAATGTATTCATGCAATTTACGTAGGAAATCTTGCATGACATAGATTATCATTAATTTCAACACTCACCTGAATATTTAGCATAACCATAGTTTCTATTCCCCAACATGTATATATCAATCAAGTTTCCAAATCGACTGAACACGTCTCTGAGCAGATGTGCTGGTGGTGGTTGCGGGTGACATATTACAAACAACCTCTCCGCAGTTTCACTGTGTGGTAAAATTAATAGACTGTTACTACACTGTCAATCCGCAATACATTTAATAATACTTATTTCCAGACCTACTGTAAGGAAAAGTTGATCTGTGTTGACGACTACAATGTTTTCTATTTTAACAACTCTCTGCAATACATCTCCATATTTTCGTTTTGAGACCCAAAACATTTTTTGATTTAACGGATGATCAAGTTTTTTTTTGGAAAGCTGTATACTATACAGCCAAATGCCACACATACAGAAAGTGAGTCATACCCTCCAATGACAAACAACTACTACAACATAAACAGACAGTTTGCTGCTACAGCTTTGATATCAGCCACCATTCAAATGCAGTCTTTGAGAGATATGCAATTTTCTAAATGATTTTTAAACCACCGCACAACCAGTCTACCTCAACCCATCATTAATATAAAGTGCAACTGATTGGAAAAGTGACATATTTTGATATGGTTGATAGAATCACGGTCTAGCCTTTAATTCATGCTTTCAAGATCTCACATATTAAAGCATGGGTTACTATTTTTAGAGGAAGCCACACGAGAATAATAAATTGTAGCAGTTTTCCCAGATGTTAAACTGATTAATATATCAATGAATGCTTCCACACATATGGGAATATGCAGACGTACCTGCCATTAGGAGCAAGCGACTGCTGTCCTGGCAGTGTTGCCGAAGATAATTGCGCACCTCCATTACCAAATCTTTGCTGTTGACCGCCACCGCCACCTCCTCCTTGCTGAAAACTGAGTTATGGACATTAGAATCAGAAAATTGAACACCAAACTCGTACAATAAGAATTAAGCCTATTAAAAGATTGATCAGTTTCAACAAAATGATCACATGTATCATTCCAGTTATGAAAATAAGCTTGATGTTGAAATTGTAATGAATAACTTTGAACGCAGTAACTTACAGTGATTGTGGAGCTGTTCCTAACAAGCCACCTGCTCCAGAACTATCCATATGAAGACTATTATTACCACTACTCCCTTCTTTACAGGCACCAGGGTCATCTTGGATATACTTGACAGCAATTCGGTAACCAGGTGGGTACTCAAAGCCATTCAGCTTTTCTTTGGCATACATAGCAGCGGCAGTGGTATTGTACCGTACAACAGCGATAGCTGACAAAAAGAGAGCAATTGTGGAAACAGTTCAGGAAATAAGAAGGCTGAAGGAAAGCAGTGACAATAGATGACACTGAATGAAGCATATCCAAGCGTCCAATGATGTCTAATATTATAACTATGTCTGCAGTGCAAGACCAAATAATATAAACATCATTAATCTATTAAACAGCACCCTCTAGTGTTATATATTGGAAATCTTATCTGAGGGTTAACTACCGTATTTGTCTTCAGTTAAGCGCCACCTTCAATTAGGCGCCAGTGCCACAAAAACTTTGTATTTTACACCTCAATTAAGCGCCAGACAAAGTTGAAATTTTGGCACGTAATGATCGTGAATTGGGCGCCGGCGGATCGACTACCGGTTACCGGTTCGTAGCGATGGACGCGATCGCAGAAGTCCCTCGCTGTTACTGTACGAATGGCTTTTATGTAAAAAAAAATTGGTTTTGTTTCTAACAATTTTTAAGAAATCGGTCTATAATCTCTTGAAACATGTCTTTTTAGTCTACTCATGGAGCTAAAAAAAGAGCTCCATGGTCTACTGTAGAAAATATCAGCGTGGTTTTTAATTTCGCATA